TAATAAAATTTCCCATGTATACAGTTACACATGACTCAACTGTTGAAGTATTGATCTAGATGTGTGTATTGCAGAGTCAAGCACTCACACATTATTCAGGATATAAACCTTCTGATGTGAGAGATTGTGTTCTTATCATACATGACTTGCAACTAAGTAGAAGGGGCTGTGACTTGTTCGCTATAAGAGAAAAATACAAGCAGCATAAGGTGTGTTTGCCAATACAATATTTCTTATTCTGTGCAAAGTGTGTTTTTTTGTGTGACATTGTTGTTTATCTGAATTCTGTGTGTGGTGTTATGTTACAGTTCAAATGTGTATCATTGCTCTCATCTCAACCGGAGATACCTGATTCCTATTTTGATGATTCAAAACTATGAGTATGAGTAGTTAGCTTAGGCAGCTGACTGAAGGAGTGAAGGTTAGTGATAGTTTTCTAGTGATGTAATACAAGGTTAGTTTATTTTCTAGTCTCTACGTATAGGCTTTCTGGTTTGGTTGCTTATATATGATTACGATATTTCTCATATTGTGCATAACAGTCGAAAAGATCTGCCATTTTTTTGTAATATGAAAGGTATCATACCATGTTCCATATATTCATGTGTTTTTTAATTTATGGAAGGCATGGTGGATGTTGTCACTAAAGCGTATAAAGCTATTATTATACCATGTTCCATATATTCGTGTTTTATGCCATGATCCATATTTTTGCACAATAATATCAACTATGTGAACATATAATAAGAATGATACAAAACTATTTTCCACTAGAAATTCAATCATTTAACTTAAAGCTGGACAAAATAGTTTGGTTCATTCGAATCAAACAAAAAATAGCATTTTGGTTAATTTAGAGTATGATATTTATCTAGTGTAGCATTTGGCAATCACATATCTCCTCTCCTCCTTCACCGTCCTTTATCAAAGCCCGTCACTCCAATCCAATTTCAATTTCATTATTTCAGTTTCATTATTAATTTTCAGAAGGTATACTCCAAGGTTTCCCATACCCCTTAAATTTTTTACTTCACCCAAAGCCCTTAAATAATATCTTGTTCTTTCTTCTCATCAAACTAACATGCTCTTCGACGATGGTTTCCGATTCCACTCCATCTTGTCATAAACTCGTTTGAGGTTTTCGAAAGACAAATTGTACAAAAAGAAGTAGAAGGCCAAGGGGAATATAAAGAAGGGGTTTTTACATAAATATTTCTAAAATAAAATTTATTTACATAAATATGACTAATAGTTACTACAATGTAATGTCATGGTAACTTAAGTTTAAAAATTGAATATAAGTTATTCCGATTTCATTACTACTCTAGTCACTGGTCATATTTTTATAAACAATCCTTATTTTAGTCATAAATATGTAATTATTTATATAACGAAAACAAAGAAGCCTCATGTGTAGCTTCTCTAGTTTCTGAGTTGGAGTAGCCAAAAAACTTTTGGAGATGAGTTTGAAATAGTGAAATAAAAATTTGAGTTGAGAATGGGGAGGGAGATGTTCAAGTTTTCCTGATGCATTTTTTGGGAAAGAAAACAAAAGAATATGTTTCCAAATGCAATGGAGGGAGGAGGAAAGTGCAAAGATGCAAAGAAAATAAGGCTGTGTTTGGATAACAACGTTTCACTCAATTTTGATGTTTCAAATACTGTTGGAGGTTTGGTTTTGATCAATCCGGTGTACACGGTTTGGTAAACAACGGTGTGGATTGGCGATTTTGTTCCAAACCGTCAAAGTTGAACACGCTTCTTCTTGGAGAAGCGTTTATATTCAACGGTTTTGAATAATATGTTAAAAGTTCACTTAGCCCCAGGTGTTATCACAGTATCATCCACCCGTAGCAGCAATAATATAATACTCCATCCGTCCCATAAAATAAGTCCCATTTTCCTTTTTGGGCCGTTCCAAAAAATTGTTCCCATTTCCCTTTTTGGAAAGTTTTGTGTGGCTAACATTCATTTACCTTTTTCTTACTCAACCACAACTATACATTTCCACTTTATTCCCACTTTCTTAAACTCCGATCCAAGTCAAAGTGGGACTAATTTTCCGGGACGGAGGGAATACTAAACTAATAAAGGACATGTTTCATTTTTTATTGTGTTGGGTCCTACACCTTAAGGTGTTATATCTCATATTTTATACTGTATATATACGTATAGTAGTATAAAATGGCAATAAAAATAACATGGAAGGACAAATTGTTTAAATAAAGATAAGTCCTTTTACCTAATTTTATATAGAAATAGTTATATCCAAACCGCAAATTAGTCAAACGTTTTTTATACCATCCGCTAATCTAATCCGCCGGTCAAAATGCTAAATCAATCCGCCGGTCAAAATGCTAAATCCATCCGCCGGTCAAAATCGCTAACACAACCCGCTAACCGCTAACCGTTGTTTACCAAACAAGGCCTAAATGATGAAAATGACGGAGAACATATGACAATGGCTGCTGCAAATTAGATTTAACACTGTTAAATCCCACACCGGAAATGTTTGAGTTAACGAAGTGCTATATTATGACATGAACTTTTCCTCCTATCAGGTTGACCTTTTATGATGGATACAAGACATAAATTTACAAAATAATGTCAAAAAATAAGGCATAATAACAATAGAATGAGATTAAGTTAAAATCATAATCTTTATTTGATATCAAATAACACTCACATTAAACTCATCATTCTCATCAAGATGACGGATAACATATGAGAAAAGTTGTACGACTGCTAGGGTTATTATTGTTTGTGTAAAAGCTTTTACTAAAAAAATGTGAGAAAATCTAAAAGAAAAAGGTTTATTTATTAATGATCATTTTTTGGTCCAATCTAAAAGTGATCATATTTTCGGTCCAATCTAAGCTATTAATAATGTAGTCCTTACACCTTTTTTAATTCCTTACTTTTGGGATAATCTTCATTTAGAAAAATAATGCAGTGGGCCTAAAAATGGCATAAATAAAAGAGTTGAAAAACCACACACACACACACACACACACACACACACATATATATATATATGTTTTGGTTCAAATAAGAACATGATCTTATGAGAAAAATGAGAATGAATCTGGAATGTTAGATTTGCTTTATGTGAAATTCAATGTGCATTAGATGAAGTTGTAATGTGTATTAGGTGAAATGAAATGTGCAGTACAAATGATACAATATAGTGACATTATGTGAAGCTAAATTGTGCATTATGTGAATTTGAAATGTGCACTAGATTAAACTAAAATGTGCAGAATAAAAGGTACGATGTGATGTTTTATTGTACTTTTTATTTTGCACATTTCAGTTTCACCTAATGCCCATGTGAGTTTAAATTTTAATTCTGCACATTTCAATATCATCTAATGCACATTTCGGTTTTACCAAATACACAATTCAGTTTCACATAATTCAATCCAACGGTCCAGATTCGTTTCTCTCCTAAGATCCGTTCTTACCGGAACCGCTCCATACATACATACATACATACATACATACATACATACATACATACATACATACATACATACATACATACATACATACATACATACATACATACATACATACATACATACATACATACATACATACATACATACATACATACATACATACATACATACATACATACATACATACATACATACATACATACATACATACATACATACATACATATATATATATATATAATTAGGTTCAAGTGATAAAATGATCTTAGGAGAGAAATGAGAATAAATCTGGACCGTTAGATTGTATTCTGTGAAATTGAATGTGCATTAAGTGAAACTGAAATGTGCACTACGTGAAACTGAAACGTGCAGAATAAAAACTAGGATGCAGTGGCATTTTGTGTCTTTTATTCTGCACATTTCAATTTTATGTAATGCACATTTGAGTTTTATTTTTCATTCTGCACATTTCAATTTCACGTAATTCACATTTCAGTTTTACCAAATGCATAATTCAATTTCACATAATACAATCCAACGATATAGATTCATTCCCATTTCTCCTGGAAGTCCTTTCTCACTGGAACCACTCCCTATATATATAGTGCTCTCTCTCTCTCTCATAATAGTGCTCTCTCTATATATATGTATGTGTGTGTGTACACACACACACACACACATATATAGAGAGAGCACTATTCCGGTCAACCGGAACCGCTGTCCGGGCGACCTTTCTCGGTGAAATTTTTTGATGAAATTTTTATAGCGTGTTCTCCATCAAATCTAGTTCATCCACACAAAAAAAACAGCTAATAATTCAATTGAGAAGGTTGTCAAATTATTTTTGGAAGATAACTGCGCCAAAATATACATATAAAACGCAGTTAACTTCCAAAAAATATTTGACAACATCCCCGATTGAATTGTTAGCTGAATTTTTTTGTGGATAAATTAGACTTGATAAATTTATGGAAGACATAAATAATTCACACACACACACACACCATATAAGACGAATGGAACCTCATAAAAATTTCATCAAAAAATTCGACAAAAAAGAGGCCGAAATGCCGCCGTCCAAAGTCCAAACGCTGGCTCTCTCTCTCTCTCTCTCTCTCTCTCTCTCTCTCTCTCTCTCTCTCTCTCTCTCTCTCTCTCTCTCTCTCTCTCTCTCTCTCTCTCTCTCTATATATATATATATATATATATATATATATATATATATATATATATATATATATATATAACTTGCAACTCAAAATAAGACACTTGTCATAAAAAATAACAACATACTTGAGCAGTTGAGCGGTTGAGCCTTACAAATATTGTGATAGCTTATGGACTAGAATCCTCATTGCCTGACACTTTTTTAGCCTTTCAAAACTCAAAACTCAAAAGTGTGGTACGCATGATTCACTTGGGGCTCCAAAATCCAATTTATAAGAATAACTAAATACTTAAACTTTTTACATTAATTTACTATTTTATATTATATTGATGTGAAAAATTATGGGTCAAATAGACCCCGAGCATACTAAACTAAAACAAACAATTAAATCACAACGATCTTGACTAATGTCATATCAAGATTTGATAATGAGGTTTCAATTTTAAAAGTGAGCGGCTCAAAGCTTTGTGTTAGTTCAACGCTAGAGAAAAGGAACGCTGCTTACTTACCTACTGACCTACATACTCGAAGAACACAAAATGACAATAAAACCATAGCAAACAAACCACGCGTTTATGTGTGTGTTTGCTGATGATGAAAATAGCCAGTCACTGGGAATGCATAATGAATCCATTTTACTGTACAATTGAGGATTCCTCCTAGCGCAGCCAAAACAAAATGTAAAAAAAACTCTATACATATATGGAATCGTGGAGAGATTTTTACATTTCATGTCATCAGCAAAAAATTACCCCTGAGATAGTTCAATGCCCTTCCAAATGAATGTCAATCATCATCAGAGAGACAGACCACATCAGCAACAGCACTCACTTGAGGTGCAGAGGTACCCGTTGTTGACTCAAACTCAGATAGGTCTACCAAATCAAATGCGGTACCAATTTCCGGTAAGGGGGGCAGTGAAGTGTTATTAGGCAAGACAGTATTATTGGCTTCCATGTTCTTATGTACAGCTGTCAGTTGTGGATGCGGGGGTGTGGTTCCCGTCTTTTGAAGTGGTAGAGAAGACACTGCCTGTGGCGACTGAGGTGACACCTGGGGGAGGGATATAGGTCTGAACAATTGAAGATGTGGGGCCGGGGTACGAATACTTCCAGGGGAAGGGGATACGTCACCAACAAATGGCGGTCGGTTGGGAACTGCGGATAGTGGACCAGAACAAAATGAAATATTAACGGAGGGGGTGGATCTGGAGGTGGGTGAGGGGTTAGTATGATATGTCCTGGAAGGATGCGGGGTGGAAGAAGCCTGATGGTGGTTAGCTATCGAGTGCTGGCCAGCTGAAGAAGAAAAACCTGGTGGTGGCCTAAGAGAAGAAACTGTTGGACTAGGAGTATGGAGTGAAGGTGGAGAAAATGCAGGAGTTCTCAATGGGGGCAGCATAGGTACATGCTGTACATAACCAGGATGTACAGCTCCAGGCGAAGAAATAGTATTTTCACTTCTAACTGCACATAGAATTATTAACACAAAAAGTATGAGTAATTATAGAATCATAATACTAGTTAATAGTAGTAGCAGTAGTAGTAATAATATTAATATTAATGATAACAGTAATAATAATAATAATAATAATAATAATAATAATAATAATAATAATAATAATAATAATAATAATAATAATAATAATAATAATAATAATAATAATAATAATAATAATAATAATAATAATAATAATAATAATAATAATAATAATAATAATAATAATAATAATAATAATAATAATAATAATAATAATAATAATAATAATAATAATAATAATAATAATAATAATAATAATAATAATAATAATAATAATAATAATAATAATAATAATAATAATAATAATAATAATAATAATAATAATAATAATAATAATAATAATAATAATAATAATAATAATAATAATAATAATAATAATAATAATAATAAGGTAAAAGAGACGAATGGATCCTTCTATCAGTTCCAATGCATCACTTAAGCCCCTGTACTAAAAAAGAGTACCATATAAGTACACTTACTTTAAATAATCGACAAATCTGGTCTTTTAACCAGTTTTTGACTTCTAGTTTGATAGGTATTGATCCAAACAGTAAAAACAGTAGTATATTCAATCAAGGAATTCTGAGAAATCCTCAGATATTCTTAGGAAATTACTCCCTCCGTCCCATTAGAAGGTTCCCACTTTCCTTTTTTGGACATCCCATATAAAGGTTCTCATTTCCATTTTAGGAAACAATTAACAATCTTAAGTGACAAATTAATCATTAAATATTAAAAATAAAACATTTATAACATCACAATTATCAATACTAACTACATTATAATATATACCTATTAAAATTATTTCTTAAAATATACTCGAAGTACTTTATTTAATCATTGTCTAAATAAACGTGCCGTTATGCTACGGGAACCTTCCAACGGGATAGAAGAAGTATAGTGGCAAGTTCGAGAGTGCCTATCTCTCCCAAGAGTCCCAGTTCCTATTCTCAATTTCTGCCTGCTTTCTTCTACGCCCCAACTCATATTTATTGTGTTCCTTACAGGGCAGCCCACTGCTATTTAGTTACAGGGCCTAAGCCCCTTATATTATACACTATTAAAAGAATATATTATTCTTATCACTAACATTATCTAGGTCCTTATGATAGTTGTAATAGCAGGTTTTTTATATGAAAACCTTTAAAAGTTTTTTAGAATTTGAAGATATATAAATAAAAAGTGTGGACGGTTTAAGAATGTCAAAGTCTATGTTTTTGTATTTTTTAAACTATTTTTATATTCTACATCTTTTTAAAAGTTATTAAATTTTAATTTTATATTTTTAAACTTTCATTTTATTTTATTCATTTTTTTATTTTTTATTTTAATGTGTTAAAATTATTTATTTAATTTTGAATTTATACTATTTTTTATATTATTATTACATTATTTTTCAAATATATATGAATTTTTATAAGATTAATCAATTTTTTATATTATTTTTTAAAATAACCTGCTATAGCAGATTAGAATAACTTGATTGACTGTATTTTTAAACATATTTATATGATACTTTTTAAGTATAAGGACTTAATGATGGATTGAAAATAGTAGAAAGGTCTATTTGACCCGTTTCCCTGATGATGATGATGATGATGATGATAGTAATAATAAGAAGAAGAATAAATATGAACAGCATACTTTGCTGCATTTGGGGAAGCGCTGCAGACCACCTGGGTTCCAAACACTTCGATCTGTAAGCTTCAGCCAATATCTTGTGTTGAAGGACTTTGCTTTGATTTGCTTCTAGTTCACTTTTCCTCTTTAACAGAGCTGCTTCACCGTCCATTATTTTTGCCTCATATTTTTTACAAATTTGTGCAACCATTTCCTTTATTTCATTCTCACATTCAGATCTCTGCTGCACCTTCTGGTAAAACATTAGATAAAGCGTGTTATAAGACTGAGCGGAACAGCATGGAAGAGAACACACTAATGAGCAATGAATTAGGGAAAAAAAGAGGGACATGATGGGGCAATAAAGATAACAGGGAGGATATGCCAAGGAAAGAGGAGTGGGAGGGGGTTAAATATGATTTCTTAAAATTCAAGAAATTAGTTTGAGATAAATGTTCAAACTTTCAATTTAAATATTTCTGTCACACAAAAACTGACAAATAAATAAAAAGTAATTTTCAAAAAGCTCTAATTAAATTTGACTTTTGTTTCTAAGTTAAAGCCACATATGTTTTCACTTGGACATAAATACTATTGGTATGCATAGTAGTCATGGCGCATGGCGATTGCCATGGCTCAAAGGCATTTTTCATGGCGCATGGCGATGGCACATATACGAATGGCGCATAAAGCGCATATGGCGCTATGGCGACGAACACTTTTTCATGGCGATAGCGCATATGGCGCGCGCCATATCTAGCCATTGACTACTATGTTGGTATGTGCTCTGGATTGGTTCATTATGTCTGGTCTGGATTGATCTCTTTACTAGATTAATTTCTTTAAGTTTGGTGGGGTCTTATATTATGTGCATTTTGCTACTATCTTAGACTAATCTGGCCTGATGTAGTTTAATCTGTTCTATTTAAGTCTATTCTTGTCTCAATTCTGTCTAGCCTTAAGCTGAAATTGTGAAACATCAAACATCCCAAATATCATAAATCAATTATCTCTTGGTACTTCATTTTCCTCACTATTTCTTAGTTCCACACATAGCCTAATATATTAGAGCATTACCCAATCTTCATGAGACTTCACGGCTACTTCTATTTCATTACGTAACCTTTCCAATTCCTTGGAAAGAGGATTAAATGGAACACGGCCTGGGGGGTTTACTGGAGTAAAAAAATGGGGAAGATGAGTCATTAGGACGTTATTAGGTCCCTGAATAGAGGTCATATTAGAAGGTTGCACATTTGCTTGGTTAGGAAGATCTCTTGTGACCCTCGCTTCACGGGGGGGAATAGTGATCTGAGGTATGCTGCGTCGTTCACCACCTGGCTGGGATCTTGTTCTATTCACTTCTAAATCTGTTTGACTCTGATGAAGTGTCACATTAGAAGAAGGCTCGGAGCAATGTGAATCATTGTTTTCTCTATTGAGAGGAAGTTGATCAGATCTATTGATGACCCTCACTTCACGGGGGGGAATGGTGATCTGAGGTGTGCAGTGTCGTTCCCTACTTGGAAGTTGATCAGATCTATTAGTGTCCCATCTTATGCTATTTGCTTCTAAATTTATTTGACTCTGATGAAGCATCACATTAGAAGGCTCGGAGCAATGTGAATCCTTGTTTTCCGGATTGAGAGGAAGTTGATCAGATCTATTAGTGAGGCCACCAGAAGGTGGTAGCTGTGGCTCCCTGTTTCCGGACAGTGAGGATTCACAACTCCACAGCATAACTGGTCTCACAGCATCCAATAGGGGAGGTGCAGCTTCAGATTCTGATCTGTTGCCATGATTGCATTGTGATTGAATAGAAGCTAAAGGCTGGCAAGATTGATCATAAGGTACCTGATCCTGCAAGTCATCAATCACAAAATAGTTCTGAGACGGTGTTCTTTTAGAGAATAACTCATTGCAAGAGGCAAGTAGTCGGATATATCATCATGTGGCACATACTCTGACTGGCCAGCAAGCATAAAACTCCCCCTCCCCCCACCACCACTAATAAAAATAAATCAACAAGACGAGGTAAACAATATTCTATGACAAAAGGTGTACCCAACTGGCCACTAGGGGATAAGTGCATTGTAGAAGGTTATTGTATAAGACTATAACCCTTCTCATTGTAGTAAAACTATTGTGGTAGCTTCTATATAAGGGTCGATATTATCAAATAAAGGACTGTTGGAAGAATTAATTTTGTGTCATGACTAGGTCAGAACTCAAATCAATTCCTACTTAAGATTTTAACTCTTTCAGTAAACATAGATCCCTTCCCAGCCCGCATATTTCTCTTCTGAATTCTAGAGACATTATTGTCCCTGGACTAGATTACTATTGCAGGTTCTTAACAATATCATTAAACTATCATCATCATCATTAACCCAATGCCGCAAAGGCTCCCACCTACGGTGGGGTGGGTGGGGGGTCGGATGTATGCATTCTTACCCCTGTACTAAAGCACAGAGAGACTGTTTCCGGAGGACCATCGTGAAAATAGAAATTGCTCTAAATAGGAGCAAAAACGTTTTGAAATTCCAAAATAGGAGTCAATGCCGCAAAGGCTCCCACCTACGGTGGGGTGGGTGGGGGGTCGGATGTATGCATTCTTACCCCTGTACTAAAGCACAGAGAGACTGTTTCCGGAGGACCATCGTGAAAATAGAAATTGCTCTAAATAGGAGCAAAAACGTTTTGAAATTCCAAAATAGGAGTATCATGGTTTTTATTCCCTGAATAGGAGTAATCTGCCAAGTTTGGGGAAAAAAGTCACGTTTAAAGCCTAGTAATGCCAAACTTGGCAGAAATTTACTCCTATTCAAGGAATAAAAAACATGATAATCCTATTTTGGAACTTCAAAACTTTTTCACTCCTATTTAGAAAATTCTCTCTAGTGAAAATCACGTCGAAAATTGCATGGACTGACTGTTGCTTCATAACAAAGAAGCGCAGACAGTTTAGTGGGCCATTTTACTTTATTTCATCATATTCCCAAGCCAAAAAAAATAGCGAGTCTGCAAATGATGGAAATAATATCATTAAACTATATAATGACAATAATCAACGTACTTGCTGTGATAGTCCGCCATCATCTGAACAGGCACCTGTTTGTACATTGGGCAAGGCAAATAAAATATCTTGGGATGCTGAGTTATTATCTGCAGATTTATTAGCTGCACCATTATGGTTTCCATCATTATTTAAGAAATCAGTCTTATTAGTAGGCGTACAACCATTTACCACCAATCCCCCTGTAGTTATACTTGCATCAGGCACTTCTGACGATTGACCATGTAAAATATCTTCCCTATGCACACTAACTGAAATTTCACCAGCTGTATGCTTTTGAATAGTCAATGGGATCACAGGAACAGTATCTTCCAATACATGGTCACGTATAACATCTTCAACGTGTGCATCTTTATTATGGTCATGTATAACATCTTCTGTATGCGCACCTACTGAAATCTCATCAACAGTTTGTTTTTCAAAGAACAATGGAACAACAGGGATAGTGTCCTCTGATGGATGGCCATGGATAACATCTTCACTAAGTGCACTTACTGAAATATCATTTTCAAAAGTCAATGGGACAGGAACAGTGTCCGCCGATGGATTGTCACTTGTACCGTCTTCACTATGCACACCTACTGAAATGTCAATGACATCATGGTTTTCAGAGGTTAATGTGAACACGGGAACAGTGTCCTCTGATGGATGGTCACTTATAACACCTTCACTACGCAAGCATACTGAAATATCATCAACAGGATACTCTTTGGAAGTCGATTGGATCATAGGAACAGTATCCTCTGATGGATGGTCAATTAGAACATCTTCACCATGCGCACCTACTGAAATCTCATTAATAGTATGCTTTTCAGAAGTCAATAGGACCACATGCACAGTGTCCTCCAATGAATGGTAGTTTATAGCACTTCCACTATACGCATCTGCTGAATTTTCATCCACATTATACTTTTCGGAAGTCAATTTGACCACATCAACAGTACCCTTTGACGGATGTCCACTTGTAACCCCTTCACTATATACATCTACTGAAATATCATCGACAGCATTCTCTTTGGAAGTCAACTGAACCACATGAACAGTGTCATGTGATGCATGGTCACTTGTAACATCTTCACTATGTGCACCTACTGAAACACCTACTGTTATCTTGTCAACAGTAAGCTTTTCAGCAGTCAATGGGACCACATGAACTGCGTCTTCAGATATATGGTCATGTATAACACCATCACTATGTGCACCAACTGAAATTTCATCAACAGTAAGCTTTTCAAAAGCGGATGGAACCACAGGAACAATATTACATATTTCATTAGGTAGCTGATGACTAGGTACCAATGCTTCTGCAGAAGATATGGTCTCTGTTGGCTTTTCAGAACTTGTATTAGTTACAAATTCTTTACTTTGGACCACATCTGTGGTAAATGTTGACACATTAGAAGGTTCCACACTGAGCTCTGGTTCATCAATCAAAACAATAGTAGGCTCATTTCCCTGTACATTACAACCAGATGGAGAAGCAACACTTAATGGATTATAGACACCAGCATCGCCTTGAATGTTTCCAATGTCATCTCTGGGAATAACATTAGACTGATGATTAATTATATCAACACATGTATTATCTTCAAGGTCGCCAACAACATTCCCAGAAGCAGCAACATCAGTGGTACTTTTGTAGGCATGTATATAATCTTGAAGGTTTGCAACATCATCCCTGGAGTCAGATATCTTTCTTGCATCTGCAGTATCTCGAAGGTTCTTATCGGCTTCTTCCACGTGAAAAATGATATGACCAATGTAAGCAATATCTTGAAGGTTTCCAGAGACATCTTTGGAATCAGATATATGAATATCAGAATCTGCACTACATTGCAGGTCACCCGCATCACTTCTGGAATCAGAAGTGCTTGTATGCAGCTCAGCAGCTACACCATCGATACAGCATAATTTAGCTTTAGCAACCCAAGCAACAGCCTTTTGCATTTCCACAGCCCTTTCCTTTTCATGCTTCTCTTCAATTTCATTTAATTTCAAGTCCTTCAGGCGGTTGTGTTCAGCTAATTTTCTTGCAAATTCATCATTCAATTGCTTCACCTTGCTCTTTCCCATAATGGTATTACAATGTATGGCACGAGTAATGATTAACTGCACTGTGTGAAGTTTCTCTATAGCCATCATCTTGTCTTCCCAGTCCTTTTGGAAGATCTCAATTTCCTCTTGTTGTTTTTCTTTGAGCCTTGACATTCTCAAGTCACACTTGCACTGAACTTGCCTAATCATCTTATCCATCTCACTCTCAACAACTTTACCCTTTAAACCTGTGGTTTGTTGTGGAACATTTTCTCCTATGCATATTGTATCCTTTATTATATCAGTTGCCACATTTTCCATCCCTTTTAATGGCTTTAAGGTAAATCCAGTCTTTTCCAAGTGACGCAAAAATGCTTCCTTTGATGAACGCAATTTCATATAGATTTTGTCTACTTCACCTTCAGTGCATTCAAATTTCAAATGCTCTTTTGTTAGCACAAGTATATTGCTCACCTCAGCTTTTCTCTTCAGGAGTTTTGCAGACATCCTACACTGAGAGACCACATGACACAATCAAGTAAGAATAGGAATAACTTCACATGCAGAGATAAGAGCACTAAACAAAAACAAAAATCTGAAACACAGAATCACAGACATATCATGAAAGTCAAAATCTCTCCATATGGAGATTAGTATTGTTGCACACAGGCTAGATGCCTAGATCACATATAAAGATAAAACACAAAAGCGTGATAGGTGGAAAATGTTATCCTTCATGGGATCATGTATTGAATTTGATTTTTTTGTACAAGTGTAAATGATTTTATACCTACAATAGTTAGCAGCAAAAATATTATCTATAATATAAAGTACCAAATCTCATACAGGTCCTAGATCTGGTTATACCCGTTGCAAGATTTTGTACAAATTTTATAAATATGGAACTCTTCACTTGGATTTATTTTAGTCCTAGACACTGCCAAATCAGACCAAGACCAATTTAACAAATGAAGTCAGGCTTAGATAATAATAAAATACCCTAAATACTAGACCAATCCAAACTACTACAGACTTAAACACACCATATGAGACCAGTTTAGACCACAATAGTGAACTTCAGTCCAAATGAGCGTGTTCTAAAGAGTCATCAAATGTTGTTCTACAAAACATTTCGTGTACCAAGTGTATCTTTAAGTATGTATATGTTTTATAGGACAACAACAACATTACCCCAGTGCCACAAAGGATCACCTAAGATGGGGTAAGGGGAGGTCGGATGTAGTGATGTACACTGCCTTTACCCCTGTACTAAAGAAGGGAGAGACTGTTTCCGAATGACCCATGATGAAAATCGCGTTGAAAATTGCATGGACTGCATGTTGCTTCATAACAAAGAAGTGCAAACAGTTTAGTGAGCCATCATATTCCCAAGCCAAAAAATAGTGAGTCTTTGGCTCCATTGGAAATGATGGAAATATGTTTTATAGGACTGAATTAAACATAAAAAGGGTGAAAATCACTTCAGTCAAGCCTCATTATACGAGTTAATACACCAAACGTCCATTTTGGGAGTACAACACTACTTGAAAGTAGAAAGGACAGCAAATAGATCCTAACCAGTGATACTTGCAGTGCTTGTAGAGTTGGTGGTTCCCCGCAAACACGGCGGTTCTCCATAATATAATCTAGGAGTCTTCCAACCATGTATTTGACATCATTCTGCACCAAATATAATATTATTATACATTTAGCGGGAAAGCTATCATAGAAAAAACCAAACCCTATAGCTAAAAGTGAAGAACTCCAGGTTGTAGCCATAAACCAGAACAAAAGATTAATCCCTAGAAGACTTGTTTCCAACTCAAACAAAATGCAACCAGAGTTACTTAATTATTTACCAGAGAAAATGCTAAAACTAAATATAACCCATCAACTGTTTATTTAAGGAATCCTTCCACAGTAGACCTGAAGATGGATAACTTCCCAGATTCAACTTTCAACAAAACAGATCTAATGTGAAATACAAAATGCTTGTCTCAATAGTATGCAATCATAACTAAAGCCAAGAAAAAAAACCATCCACAGTTTTACTGCTCATTTCATGATCAAACAATGTAAGCTTTTCAGAAACAAAAAAAAAATACTACTATATGTTTTCCAATTCATATATATAACATTATCCTCTTCAATGTAGAGTGAACTCCTAGAAAAGTGAAAGAAAACGAAAGGCAAGACAGCTACCGAAAGTTTTAGCACTTCAAAGACTTTGGTAATCGCTTCTTTTAGAAAGATGTGAATGGTCTTCTGCTCAACAAGTAGAGACTTTCTTTCCACGTGTTCAACATCAACTACATGTGATGGGCTGCTTGAAGATCTAGTTGTAGACACTCCTGCAATAAAACAGATACTGTTAATAGTAAGTGTATTATTTGCATTAAAGCGATAACATTTACATTAAAATCTATAGGTCTTGCACTAACAGTGTGGTTACAATATGTCAATAAAAGTGACAGGTTTTTACCGAAAAAGTGATATATTTTGACTCAACCAGAGATGGCTTCATACAAGTTGTCAAGAATTAATGCAATAGCACACTCTTCTACAACACTTTTCACAATCAGTGCTACAGAAAGCATATAAAGCACTGCATTATCAAAATAAGTTTATTCACCTTTTTTTGAAGCAGCAAGTTGAACACCTTCAGGTATAGGCAAAGTAGGGATAGCATCCACACCACTATTCACCATCTTCCTACGCTTTTTCCCTGCCTCATCATTACTAACCTCTGGAGTACGTGGTGAGCTCTCAAAGTATTTGACTCTCTTTCTGTTCCTCGGGGTTGGACCACTTATATGTCTCCATTGAGGAGATCTTCCTTCCAACAGCCTTTTCCAGAATACTTGTGGCTCTTCTCCGTGTGTATACTTAACTTTCTGCTCACCAAATAATGGAAGATCTGTAATGCAAGGTCCTGAACTCTTGAGTACTTTGGAGATCACTGACTCATGCATGGCATCCATTTCTCTGTTAGGAGATACTATAGTACAGAATTCCTTGATAAGATCATTTATAAATAACTGTTCACGTGACATATCTGAAGCTGATGCCTGGCAGTCACTGGCATGGTACTCATCCAATCTACTGAATAATAACGAAGCACCCCACATGAGAGTGCATTTCAAATTCCTGTTTAAACTCAGCAAATTATCAACATTAGGATCTTGCTTTGCAATTACAAGTGCTTGCTCTTCTACCGTATAGCACGAATATAGCCGGAAAACTCTGATTGATTCAGACAGCGATGTAAAGGATAGCTTCTGTATAAGCTTCAAATCATTTCGTGGATTATTATCACCACCATATATGATTACACTGTCTACTGATGATAATCTAATACTTGCATTGCAAATACGACTCTCCAATAGCAGTACAAATTGTCCACTTTCCTTCTTCATGAACTTATTGAGAGCTGCTTGCCTCTTCGATGCATGGAGACAAGTATGTACACATTCATAAGAATCTTCTCCGAATCTTCCTCGTAAAAATTCCTCCAATATGTTAACAAGTGATGATACAGGGCCAATAGAGTCCTAAAATGAATCAATACAATTGTTAAGAAAAATATGCATGGTGATTAACATGCAGATCAGGACACTGGAGAGACATGGATGCACATACATAAAAAGTGAATCTTCATTGACATAATATTGTGCCACAAAAAGGAGAGGGAGAGGGAGAGGGTGTGTGTGTTTGTGAGGGAGGGATAGGTAGAGGGTAGGGGAAGAGTTTGTGTGTGTTAGTATGTAAAGTGAATGGAGTAAGAAGCAACAAAGAATTACAGAAATACTTGTTTGTAAAATAACAAGCAATAGATGTCAAAAGCACAAAGAGACTGTTTCCGAATGACCATACATAAGAAGTGAATCTTCATTGACATAATATTGTGCCACAAAAAGGAGAGGGAGAGGAGGAGGGTGTGTGTGTGTGAGGGAGAGATAGGTAGAGGGTGGGGGAAGAGTTTGTGTGTGTTAGTATGTAAAGTGAATGGAGTAAGAAGCAACAAAGAATTGCAGAAATACTTGTTTGTAAAATAACAAGCAATAGATGTCAAAAGCACAAAGAGTGTTTCTGGATGAAACATGATGAAAATCGCGTCGAAAATTGCATGGACTGACTGCTGCTTCATAACAAAGAAGCGCAGACAGTTTAGTGGGTCATTTTTCTTTATCCCAACATATTCCCAAGCCATAAAATAGTGAGTCTTTGGTTCCATTGGAAATGATGGAAAAATAGAGCATGGTGTGTCTTTGCCTTAATATTCATCTCAAGTCTTAACAGTTAACACTTTCAGAGTGAACATGCATATCACTGCCAGACTTATCTTTATTAAGTTTGGTTGTCCCAAAATGAATTTCCAATTTCTATTTAAGGTATGTGTTGATAAAACGAAGAGACATCATTAATCTAGGATTTATTTTCCTTATTATTACTGTAATTATGTGTCTTTAGTGCTTCAGGTTGTATTTAATAGTTGCTGTCTTTTCAGTTCTCAATCATTTATGTTTAGTATTTAGACAGTCACCTAGGGTGCTGAATAGACTCTCTCAGGATTCCTATCTGTATAAATAGCTTATGTACTTCTTGTAAATGAATACAAGGAAATAATATTCAGAAAACTTCATGGTATCAGAGCTTGGTTTTGTCTAAGCCTTTTTTGAGTCTATCACCTCTCCAACGGTCATTTTTTGGGTGTCTCTACCCTTCTCTCTCTTTAACTCCCGGTGGAGTCTCTTCATCAAGGGTTTTATCATGTCTAAAGAAGCCGAATCAGCCTCAAGTAACCTTGATCACTCAACCATTGTTTCAGCTGCTACTGCAGCCGCATTTGCTCTTCGAAACCAGAAATTTGATCTCCCTTCTATCCCGCCATCTTACCGTCTCAATGGCAGGAACTATCTTGGGTGGTCAAAGCTGGTTTACACTCTCCTACGTGGCAAAGATCTTGAAGACTATCTCATTGTCTCTACCCCAGACGAAGGAGAGATTGATGCTGCTAATTGGGAGAAAACTAATGCCAACATACGGGTCTGGTTATGGGACTCTATGGACCCCAACATTAGCAGTACATGTTTATACATGGACTCGGCTAAAGAAATCTGGGATTTCATACAGCAGTCCTACTCTGTTGCTAAAGATGGTGCTTTTGTCTATGACTTATGGCTCAAAACAACGAATCTTAAGCAAGATTCACAATCTGTCACAGATTATGCAACTGACCTCCAACGACGATGGTCTGAACTTGACCGGTATCAAACGATGAAGTGGTCGAATGCTGCAGATGCAGCTCTTCACAAGAACTATATAAATCAGCAACGTCTATATTGCTTCTTGTCTGGTTTAAATCCCGAATATGATCAGACTCGGGGTCAAATTCTTGGCATTACTCCTCTGCCTTCCATATCTTCTGCCATTGCCACTATCAAACATGAAGAGAGCAGACGCAATATAATGATGAATACAAATCTGATTGACAGTACAGCTCTTGCTGCCAAATCTACTCCTTCAGATGTTAAGGAAACTAAGGGTAGTAAGGGAGGAAGATGGTGTGATCATTGCAAGCGGTCCAACCATAATGTGGATACATGCTGGAAACTTTATCCTCATCTACAGAAAGAAAGAAAAAGCCAGGACAGACGTGGAACTAGTGCTGGACGTGCCAACTCAGTCACTCCCACTATTGTTGAGAGCTCTACTAATCTTTGGCCCATTTCCCAGGAGGAATTAAAGCAAATTCGTATGATGTTACAGTCTCTTAATAACTCAAATGGTTCTGGTCATAGCTCTTTGGCCCTGCAAGGTAAAACCTCTACTATTTTTTGTCTTAATGCTTCGGAACAGAGTTCACAATCCCAATGGATATTAGACTCAGGTGCCACATCTCATATGACTGCCATACCCTCTTTACTCTCTAATTATCATCCATGTTTTACATCCACACACATTACTACCGCTGATGGGACACCTACAAAGGTTGCGGGACTTGGTACGGTTGTTTTTTCTGAAAAATTAAATCTGAAAAACACCCTACATGTCCCAAACCTGGCTATGAACCTTGCTTCTATTTACAAACTCACACTTGATCTTAATTGTGCTGCCATTTTTTTCCCTTCCCACTGTTTATTACAGGATCTACACACGGGGAGGACGATTGGAATTGCTAAACAAAGAGATGGCCTGTACTACCTTGGTGCACTGTTTGTCTCCAAACCTCCACAAAAAGCTCTTACCACAATCACAGCCAATACCAACACTATTTGGCTTCACCACAAGCGTCTTGGTCCCTCTTTTCATGTCCTAAAAACCATGTTTCCTAGTCTTTTTAGTAGTATTGATGTTTCTACATTTCAATGTGATGTCTGTGAACTTGCTAAACAGTCTCGTGTATCTTTTTCTAGAAGTAATACAATCAGTTGTTCTCCTTTTGATATTATACATATTGATGTCTGGGGTCCTGCTCCAATTGCTAATATATCTGGTGTCCGGTGGTATGTTACATTTATTGATGATTGTACACGTTTTATGTGGGTTTTTCTGCTAAAAAACAAGAGTGAGGTGAGTTCCATCATTCCTATCTTTTGCAATATGATTCATAATCAGTTCTCCGCCACAATAAAACGCTTCCGCACTGATAATGCTCTTGAATACTTCAATCAAACTGTTTCCTCTTATTTCCTCTCAAAAGGCATTGTTCATGAGTCCTCTTGTCCGTACACACCACAACAGAATGGCACAGCAGAAAGAAAAAATCGCCATCTCCTAGACGTCAGTCGGGCTTTATTGTTTCAATCAAATATGCCTAAACACTATTGGGGGGAAGCCACACTCACAGCATGTCATCTCATCGATAAAATTCCCAGTCGGGTACTCCAAAATAAGTCACCCCTTGAATCTCTCCGTCACTTCTTTCCCCAAACCAGAATTTCTTCTGATCTTGATCTAAGGGTGTTTGGGTGTACTGCATTTGTTCATATTCCTCCACCTCAAAGGGGAAAATTGGACCCACGATCTATTAAGTGTATCTTTCTTGGTTATTCTCCAACTCAGAAAGGATATAAGTGCTATAATCCTACAACCAGAAAGACATACACCAGTGCAGATGTGACCTTTCACGAAGACACACCTTTTTACACTCCTACTTCTCTCCCTGTATCCCAAGATACTCCACATCCTTCACCTCGGCCCACCTATACTATTACATCTTCTCCACCACATACAATCTCCTACCCTCCTAAGCCTTTATCACCAGACATCCCATCACCACCACCACCACCACATGATCATCCATCACCTTCCTTAGATGTGTCAGCAACCTCACCTACTTCCCAACAGTCTTCAACATCACCTGAACCTCAATCAAATACACCACCAGACCATCCCATTCCTACACCTACTAAATCCACCACTCATGACCCATCTTCTCCTCTACCAGTGACAAAAGTGTACTCAAGGAAAAACAGGTTCACTCCATTGTTGACGCATGACCAATTGGCTGACCCAGGTAATGTCTCTTCTTCTCCACCACCATCTCCGCCATTTGCTTTACGCAAGGGTGTACGTCAATGTACCAAAACACCTCTATACCCTCTTGCTAATTTTGTTACCATTGATAACTTCTCTCCTTCACATGCCTTGTTTGTTCAGAGACTTAATGAAATTCCCATACCCAACTCTGTTTCTGAGGCACTAGGAAAGAAAGAATGGAGGGATGATATGCAAGAGGAAATTAGAGCTCTTGAAAAGAACCATACTTGGGATATTGTGACTAAACCTCCTGGGAGGCATGTTGTTGGTTGCAGGTGGATCTTTACTGTCAAATACAAGGCTGATGGATCTCTTGAGCGGTACAAAGCTCGTCTTGTGGCTAAAGGATACACTCAGACGTATGGGATTGACTATCAAGAGACCTTTGCTCCTGTAGCTAAGCTCAATACTGTCCGTATCCTACTATCCTTGGCATCTCACTTTGATTGGCCTTTATTGCAATTTGATGTCAAGAATGCTTTTCTCCACGGTGACATGCATGATGAGATCTACATGTACATTCCCCCAGGCTTTAATAAAACATCAACAAGAACCTCTACACATGTATGTCATTTAAGAAAAGCCCTCTATGGTCTCAAGCAATCCCCTCGTGCTTGGTTTGACCGTTTCACACAGGTTGTTCTTGCTGCTGGGTATAGTCAAAGCCAAGGGGATCATACTCTTTTTTACAAACACTCTCGCCCAAATGGAATCACTATTCTTTTAGTATATGTGGATGACATCATTGTGACGGGTAATGATCCAGTTGAGAAACAACGTCTTGAGGGGCAGCTGAAATCCAAATTCGAGATGAAGTCTCTTGGCCCTCTAAAATACTTTCTTGGAATTGAAGTTGCTCGCTCATCTGAAGGCATCTTTATCAGCCAACAAAAGTACATTACAGATTTGTTAAATGAGACTGGTAAGAGTGCTTGTCGACCGGTTAATGCACCTATGGATCCTAATCATAAGCTTGGACTTGCTACTGATGAACCCAAGGTTGATTCATCAATGTATCAGCGCTTGTGTGGCAAACTTATCTATCTCTCTCATACTAGACCTGACATTGCCTATGCAGTTAGTGTTTTGAGTCAGTTCATGCATGATCCAAGGAAACCACATCTAGAAGCAGCCTATAGGGTTCTTCACTACCTAAAAGGAAGTCCAGGGCAAGGGATAATATTCAGGAAGGGTGGGCAATTATCAGTCCAAGCCTTCACTGATGTAGATTATGGTGGCTCCCTCGTTGACCGTCGGTCAACTACTGGTCTCTGTGTTTTCCTAGCAGGAAACCTCGTGACATGGAGAAGCAAAAAACAGAATGTTGTGGCACGATCATCTGCTGAATCTGAGCTAAGAGCTCTTGCCCATGGCTTATGTGAACTTCTATGGATCAGAATTATTCTCTTAGATTTACGAATCAAGTGGAAAGGACCAATGGAATTGAGGTGTGATAACAAATCAGCAATCAACATAGCTCATAATCCAGTCCAACATGATCGGACCAAGCATATTGAGATTGATAGGCACTTTATCAAAGAAAAGGTTGAAGGAGGTCTGATCGAACTAAGCTACACTCCCTCAGAAGATCAAGTTGCAGATGTGTTTAACAAACCTCTGCACAATCCTAGGTTCCAGGGTCTTATTGTCAAGCTAGGCATGACGGATATCTACAAACCTAGCTTGAGGGGGAGTGTTGATAAAACGAAGAGACATCATTAATCTAGGATTTATTTTCCTTATTATTACTGTAATTATGTGTCTTTAGTGCTTCAGGTTGTATTTAATAGCTGCTGTCTTTTCAGTTCTCAATCATTTATGTTTAGTATTTAGACAGTCACCTAGGGTGCTGAATAGACTCTCTCAGGATTCCTATCTGTATAAATAGCTTATGTACTTCTTGTAAATGAATACAAGGAAATAATATTCAGAAAACTTCAGTATGGAAAGTTAAACTAAGTGACAAACTTACCCTTACTTTTACTCCTTTTCCATTTACTTAAATGTCTATACTTTTTCAGAGAAATGGCAAAATAGTAAAGCCAAACTTAATCTATTATCTCCCTTAATTCTTCTGCCATGCAACCTTTGCAAATCAAATTAGGACGGAGTAAAACTATTTCATTAGACTTAAACCTCACCAAAAAGTATTTCTGTCATTGTTTTCTATTGTAGCCGAAGTGAATCAAAAATATTTATGTGTGACATCTCTGCTAACATCATAATTTCCCTGTATAATGGATCTCAAATTCTTAAAACATTCTCTTACTAATAGTTGTTTCCCATCCAATTTCATCCACTTCACTTTATATCTTCCATGGTGGTTAATTTGAAGTCCAAATACTATGTTTTACTTCCACTTGTCCTAAACTCTCAGTGATTTTAACCTCTGTCTCCTTATACCAACTAATGATTTACTTCAGCTTACCGTAACCTCTCATGATTCCAACTCTTATCCTTGTTGTTGATGTTTATCTTTGAAACTTAAGCATCATGTCAGTCCTAGAAAATAGATGGGCTGACAGTAAGGTTTTGCAACAAGATCAATGCATGGTAACTGAGGGTGAACCAAAAAACTTTTTCGTGTTCAGGTGTCCAATTGCATTTCCATCGTGACAGTAAGGTTTTTGAGGGCTTTTTACCCTAGTCCCTACAATTCAATACACCTAATATAAATTTGTTGCTTGTTATCTTGCTCGGCCTAAGTAGACCAAAGCAATATGGTGTTAACTCATCACTATCATTACCCCAGTGCCGCAAAGGCTCCCACCTATGGTGGGGTAAGGGGGGTCTAATGTACACATACCCCTGTACTCAAGCACAGTCTTACCCCTGTACTCAAGCACAGAGAGACCGTTTCCGGATGACCCATAGTGAAGATCACGTCCAAAATTGCATGGAGTGACTGCTACTTCATAACAAAGAAGCAGAGAGTTTAGTGAGCCATTTTGCTTTATTCCATCATATTCTCAAGCCAAAAAATAGTGAGTCATTGGCTCCATTGCAAATGATGGAAATACCAATATGGTGTTAAATAATGCTGCATATGTAATTGAAGAAAGCTACTGAATCTGGAATCACATTTAAATTCTGAAATCCACTAAATCTTTTACTCTTTCCTCTCCCCGCCCCCCATGATAACCTGCTACCCTTAGCCTGACATTCACTCACTCTCCCAACTTCCACCCAAAAACTCTTCCTCAATACAATTTCCCATTTATGGCCTACTAAAGAGAGCTCTGTTTGTGCATACAATAATTTCCACCTAAAACCCCTTCCTCAATACAATTTCCCATTTATGGCCTACTAAAGAGTAAAGAGAGCTCTTTTTGTACATACAATAATTAAATAGCAAAATCATAGTGAAACACTTCGCATAGTAGAGCCGGAAAGGAAAGTTATATTCATGTTTCAACAACAAACAAAAAATAGCATGTGTAGTTGTCATAATTTTGCATTGCGAAGATTTTTCCTATGGGAACCCTACCACACATGAGTATTTATCCTTTGTCAGGTAGTATAGGTTGACAATTTTTCAGCATACAAAAAGACAACAGCCTAGTACATAGAATTACTTGACAATGAATAATACCTGAAAATAGATAACTACACTGAGATGTTTGTGTTTCATTTCTGACAGCATCTTGTCAAGAAGAAGCAGTTTTCCACTTGCTTTTATTCCGAAATCCAAAATCTCAGTAGGAGAAAGCCCCTTGTTCAGGGGTAGCACAGATCCATCAAAAATATACGGATGATCACAACACTGACAACAGCACAAAAATTGTCAACAATTTGTCAACTTGAAGAACAGATGAACACTCAAATGCCCAGTGCATGAACTTATGTGTATTCTATCTTGCAATCACTCAAGCTGATTTTGAATGTGTCCAAAGCTCATTAAGAGGCCGTTTGGCAACCCTCATTTTCGGCTTATCTGGTTTATCAGCCAACTTTTTTACCAAACACGTAAAATTTGCTTTCACTCGCTGAATTGTGTAATAAGCCGAAAAAGTAAGGTTGGAGTTACTTTTCTGGTTGTATTGGCTGAAATTACTGTAGATGATCATTTTAGCTATTTTTACATATATTTTTTTCTTTATTTTATTAATAAAATATATTTTAAAAATATTTTTTTCTTTGTATCAGCAGAATCAGCCAATGAAGCCACTTCAGCCAGAACTTCATAAATTTCAGCAGAATCAGCCAAAACAGCCGATTTTCGTGCTGCCAAACGGGCTCTAAAAAATAATGATAAAAAGTAAATCTGATCATAGGTTACATGCACATTTCAATCAGCTCTTAGCTGAAAACAGAGTTTAAAATGAGAACTTCAAAAAATAAAAGTGGAAAACCCTTAACAAACGATTTTGAGCATACTAGAAATTGCATATCCTAGAAGTGTTTTGAATTTTCTTATCAAAACTAGACCTACGTGTTGGTAGTGGCCTAAGCATTAAGCAAACATGTTATGAGTCTTAAGATTAGTAATCTCACATAATACTAGTGTTCATTAGTTGAGGGCTCAAGGGGTTTGTGACCTGTTGAACAAGAAAGGGCTTATATTTGCAAGTGATTTACAAGTCTAAAACTCTAAATTGGCACAATGACACTAATATGGCAAGGTCAAAAAACTGCACCCCACGCCTAATTAGGAGTTAGACAAAAACCTTTCGAAGATCGAGAAGAACTGTATTAAGCACTCCAACAGGATCACTCTTTTTTGTGTAAGAGCACAGGGCATTGAGATTTGAGAGAAGCGTATTACAATACTGCTCAAGCTGCAAATTGGAAACTTGAACAGGAAGCCAATACTCAAGAAACTTGGAAGGTCCAAGTCCATTATCATTTGCAGTAAGATTGGAAAGCATATCACTCTGTTTTCTTTGACAACTCTCATATTGTCTAATGAGGCTTAGACCATGAGAAGTACAGAGAGAATCCGCATTCTCCAACTCCCATGTCGCATCCTCAATATCAAGGCCTTTCCACTTTACAAGCCACTCGTATTGGCATTCTAGGTTATCACCAACATCAAGATTTTGGTTTTCCACATGCAGCTTGGAGAAAGATAATAACCTTTTCCTTAGTAAACGCTGAGGCTTTGTCCATTCAGAATTCCAGCTTACATCCTGATTGATTGGAAACAAAAAGATAGGAGTATATGTTATCCAAGTTGAGCCCCTATTACTAGTGTGACTTGAAAAGATTCAAAAACATGCAAGTTTGATTTGTTTAAGGTGATTTTTGTTCTTTTTAAATTAATTGCGCCTTATGTCCTAATTTGTTCTTTTTAGAGCACAGATGCTTTTTGCATGAATACTAAACAAACAAATTACATGTGATTAACTTTTCAATTTTACCCAGTAGAAGGCATAACCTAAATAAAGTTTGGCATGTCCAATCAAAAAGGTCATGGGGCTTAAAACGTGTGACAGGAATAACATCATAATCATAATAATAGCAGTGCAACGTGAAACTAACATGAGTTTTCTGATTAAATTCTGCAAGAATTGATGGCACTTCAATAAGCAATGGAGCTTCTGGTAGCCACTGGTTGTGAGCATGGGCGAGACCTTGATACTTGACAAGATACTGTTTCTGCTTTTTGGTTCCTAAAATGTAAAGGCAGGAACAAAAACACAACTATCAGGAGAAACATATTAATAAGTTTTAAAAAGTCAGGTTACATAATTTCGATTCCAAAATAACAGGGTAGAAGTGACACAGATCGGAAGAACCTTCGGAACCTGACATTTCCACTTCTCTAGCATCACAAATTGACTCTACTCCTTTCGATACTGCGTGGACACCCAATTCTATCTTTTTCTTCACGCACCAGAGACAATGCCAGATTCCAGATGGAACATCACCTAAAGGAGACCCTAAACAAGAGAGGTGGTAACATCTACTACAACCTTCACCATAACATAACCTGAAAAGCATATCACTGCACATGTTAAGAAAGGTGGGTACAAATCATATGCAATAATAAGAAAAGAAAAGAAAGTTCCAGAATCCTCTCCAAACATTTAATTGAATGTTCCAATGTATCTAAATGAATTGAAGGAATCAAAATAACACCAATGTGAAGGAACCAGATGCACTATGAGACCAACACAAATGTAGTCACATCAAGTAGAACTGACTAATTAAAACTATGTGACATTATTAAACCCCTGAAGACGGTCTTACTATTAAAACACGTGAAATTACCCACAGAAACCAGATGCACTATAACATCATCATAAATGTAGTCACAAAGAGAAGCACTGACACTATGAACACAAAAGAGATTACCCACAGGCTTTTTCCATCTTGCTTGCACGCATCACAAGCATTTTTTAGATTATCCACCTCAGAGACCATGTTTGCACCTTTAGATTTCCCACTAGCAGTAGCTTCAACACTCACTCTATCCTAACATGCAGTGTGCATCAATAAGAAAATTATCAGTAAGAGCATCCACAACAGATGCCATGAACTAAGTTGAATGTGATGCCAAAAGAATAAACAGGTCTAATTCATCAGAGAATGATTTATTTATTTTACTTTGAATAGGGAATAGAAGTTTTTGGATTAACATATCAAAAGGTTGATTTATCCTAAAATGAAATTATGAAATAAAATAAAGATAGATGGAAGCTGGAATATCAAGCGAACTCCACCTACAATTCGAAAAAACAAGCAGTTATAGAGCTGTACTACCAAAATCAGATTCATCTTCTGAGAACTGAACATAGAACTTCTACAAAAGTAAAATAACAGAATTCCCCATGCACCAAAGTAGTTTAACCTGGTAATAATTTAATATACTGGTTGCCTTTTAAATGAGTTTACAATGAACTAGCAAATTACAGATATGTTCCTTTTTCAAATAGAACCCTCTCTCTATAGACAGATGTGTGCGAAGTGCGTCCGTACAGATTTTTTTTACATTTTACTTTTCGCATTTTCTTGCATTGCAGATATCAAATGGAACAACAAACCAACCTTGTATAAAGTTTTATGACTAATGTCCTTTGGAAGAGCACCACACGTGCAGAGCTCCACACTTGGTGAATCATGACATTGACTGCAAATTCAGAAGAAACTATAAGAAAAGGCGGACCAACTTGCAAATCTAGCAGCGAGTTCAAACACGTAAGCAAGTATATAATGAACAAAAATGTATAGCTTCATAATATTAAACCCGATAAGTTTTTAGAAAAAATGTCTTCAATTTCAATTAGCCTCTTACATTTCTCCTCATTCCGAAAGTCCATGTCTAATCCAGTCAACTTTTACTCCCTTATTTATGGTTGGAGGGATTGTTCAGTGTTTGCTATATTAATGGATATCACTAAAACATGCATAAAAAGTTACCTTTTCTGTTTCATGCATATATCACAGGACCCAGGAAAGCAACGCTTTCCATGGCTGGCAAACGTTGATTGAGCGGTCACAGAAATTAATTTGCAGACAGTTTGGATGCTATCGGAATTTCTTTTTCTACTTTGCTCTCCATTGGTTGAATTAAGTTCGCATAAAGGAGTAGACCCTGTCAAATTTGGGATCTTTTCAGTTTCTCTACCAGAGTGTCCCTCTAGCAGTTTTTCAGTTCCATCCAAGGTTGCACTGATTATGCTCCCATTTGTTGAAGATTCTAAATTATCTGCTTCAGATAGACAAGCAGATGGTGCTTGTGCGGAAATAGAAATATCCGTTGCATGTGGCAATCCTGCCCCATCGTGACTATGGAAAGCTCCCATGATAAAATCCTCTGAACAAGAGAGGGTATCTTCTACTTTGTCAGATAGTGCAGCATGGTCTTCACCGAAATTTCTTTTAACCTCTCGGTGGCAATCGACAACCCCATCCACTTTGTCCTCGACAAGATTGTCGTCACTGCCAAATCTAGGAAATTTACTTGATCTTTTTGAAACCTCGTAAGTTGCTACATAGAAGAAACAAAGAATTTTCATCAGAATAAAACCATCCATTGTTGCATACAAGAACATGGAGCAGCTATATAATTTATAGACATTAGTACATCACATATTTAATGTACTAAGGGTCTAAAGAAAGCCATAACTCTCATGTTTCACGACTAAAAGATAAAAAAAGAAAGAGTGAACTAGAAACAAACTTTTATCAGCAGCTTCAGAACCAACAAAAAATAATATCAAGTCCACAAAGATTGGAGTATAGGGTCAAAATGAGAGAGTACTATATACCTGGTATTGCATCTCTTGTCCGTTGCTGTTTGAAGAATGAACTAAAACTTCGGGCATCCATTCTCTTCCTTTTCATAGATATGTTATGATCACTAGAGGTGTCATCTTTCACAGATTTCATTATATTTAAATTCTTGACACTCTTATATTTTTCTCCTTTCTTCTTTGTGCCAAACAAATACAACTCTCCCTCTGAGAGATTTGCTACTGAAGAAGTGGATATAATATGTCTTGTAACTCTATTGGAGTTCCTTGAAGGACTGGGCGTGTCAGATCTCCCAGACCTCCTTTGAGAAGGTTGTGGCTGCTTCTCAAGTATCTTAGACTTCCATGTCCTTAACGGCATTTCCTGAGAGGACTTTCTCAACTCAAGGTGATTCATCTTTCCAGTGTCAAAACTATATGATCCTTTCCCACTATTACCCTTGTCAGCTTCATTTTTCTTCCCAGAACGTGTCTCATGAACCATCTGTAAATTAATGAAGCTGGTTTAAAGTTCTCAATCTACACAGTAATGTGTGTACAAGATAACATTTTAGAAAATGGCACTGTGGTTGCTACTCGATGTTTGCTACTTGAAAAGGGGTCTATGTGGATTAAATTCAACATTATGATGCACAAGATAGCATTTTTAAAAATGGCACAAAATACTAGAACACTCGAGCTAAAATTATCTTCCAACAGAATATACTGATAATTACAGCGCCAATAAACACAACATTCCTCACTTTATTTTATACTAAGTATCAAACACTTATCTGCTTTCAGTTTTAATTTAGCATTATAGCAATATTTTCCATTCAAGAATGAACTTTAATTTCTATTTAGTTTTAGGTTCAAATGGCGTATTATCTCAAGGAGAAAATAGAAAAAAATAGAGCATTGCTATTAACCTAACCAATAAGCTTGGAAAACACTAAACATAACTAGTAGTATTCACGATCATAATACTTATCTACCAAGTATTAACCCCTCTATTTACATGACTACAGTCCACCAACACAGCAACACTCAAGTTCCAAACCACTACTTGCTCTCCTCCAACCTACAATTATCCATATATTGTCCCCTTGTGGACCAAGCTCAGGACTATCCCCTGTGTACATCTATGTATAATCACCATCAACAATTAGGTTGCGGTAAATAAGTTACATTTTTACATAGTGGTAGTTGAATGTACACACTCCCGGTTATATCTATCCCGAATAGAGGAGCATAGGGGCTGAAAATGTTATTGCCTGATAGCAAAATGACCGTTATTCTGAATATTTATACAGAATACTGAATATTTATACAATTATAACCTCAATATGAAAAGAATAAAGATTATCCAAAGTTCATGACATTCAAATTGTTCCAGTTCTCCTTAACAAAGAAAATTAAGAAGCACAAATACTGATGGAAGATTGTAATGCAAAAGGAATGGAATGAATCAAAAAAAGTACTCTCACCTCAATACTACTTAAAGATTGCTACCAAGAAAAGAAAGATGAGCTATAGTAGGTTACGATAAGGATTGCTAGACTAGGTGCATGTAGACTGAGGCGGGTCGAAAGAGATGGCGCTTGAAGTTGTGTGACTATGTGCAAAAACACTCTGCATTCAGTAACAGTAAAGTGTCTTATCTATTATACAGTGTGCTCAATTGTAGCAGCGGTATTGTTGGTGGAAGAAGAGATTACCCTTGAGTCCAAAATTGAAAAACTCTTGGGTTTCGTAAGAGCTAGTGTTCGGTCCCAAGAAGCCTGAGATCTTCCGAGGAAATCACTGCTGAGGAAGCTCATGGAAGCGGTGGAAGCCCGTGGAAGCGGTCAATGACAAGAGGGGTGTATTGGAAAAACTTGAAGATTATTTGGAATTGATCAACGGGTAGGGTGATAAAAAGGTTGAAGCTGCCAATACTAGTGTCAAAGAATATTTATATGATCTTCAGAATACGTATATGAATGATGTTTCTATGTCTTCCCAAACATCACAACCAAGTGTTGGAGGCAATGTTAATATTTCTATGGTAGCAGTAGTAACACTTCATAAAGCATGACACAAGCTGAAAAGAAATTGGCAGAAAAAGAGCAATGGAGAAGAGCCAAAACATTGATAGTATAAATAATGATGTGAATAATGTATCCTTTAGATTCTATCAAAGGGGGGTGAAAATTTAGATTGCAGCATCTTGAAGTGGTGGAGAGTGAATGGGGTTTGTAAATACCCCCTTTGGCATATATTGCAAGAGATATTTTGCAATCCCAGTGTCTAATATTGTTGGCTGCTGAATCGTGTTTTAGAACTAGTGAACGGCCAATCAATCATCATTTTCATCATTTTCATTTACCCCAGTGCCGCAAAGGCTCCCACCTACGATGGGGTAAGGGAGGGTCGGATGTACGCAGTCTTACCCCTGTACTAAAACACAGAGAGACTGTTTCCGGATGACCCATAGTGAAAATCGCGTCCAAAATTGCATGGACTGCTTCTCCATAACAAAGAAGCGCAGACAGTTTAGTGAGCCATTTTGCTTTATTCCATCATAATCTCAAGCCAAAAAATAATGAATCTTTGGCTCCATTGCAAATGATGGAAATAGTGAACGGCCAATCAATCCATTTTGTAATTCACCAAGTCCCAAAATGGTGGAAGCATTGATTTGTGCCCAAACTTAGCTTAGGAGTGCTTATGTTTTAGGAGTATCATTCCATCTTTCTTTCTCCCTTCCTTCTCCCTCCCTCCCTCCCTTTCTCTCTTCCTCTCCTCTTCTCTCTCTCATTCTCTTCCACTCTCTCTCTTTCCTCATTCGCTTTCTTCCTCTCCTATAACGGAAGTTCTTCCAAGCGAAGCCATTCGTCAACGGCGTCAACGTCACTCTTGTCTTTGACAGCTTCCATGAGCTTCCTCATAGCAGATTCATTCATCGTTATAGGTAAGGATATAATTTATGCACCCACAATGATGATCGATAAATTAAAAATTGTTCCACAATAGATTGAACCAGACTAGGCTTAGACAACAATAAAATGCACATAAAATATAAACGAATCTTTATAAAACCAGACCAGACAAACTCAAATTAGATGATATCAAATTTACCAAAGAAAGTTAGATTAGACAGATCACATCGAAATTTGAATCAAAACATTCTCTCCCTAACATACACAACTAAAAATGAGCGCATCTGGCCGGTGGACGTAGCTCAACTTGTAGATAGGGAGTACCGTAAGGGGTAAGTCTCGAGTTCGAATCCTGTTAACTGCGATGAGAGGTTACTATGAAAAAATGCATTGTGTCTCAACAAGTATCATGGCTAGAGCCTCGCTCACAATCTGTCGGCTTGTAATTTAAATTTAATTTACATCCCCAGGGATGAGTGTTATTTTCAAAAGGGCGCACCTAAATAAAAATTCTCATTATCACTGCCTCGTTGGCATACTCTTTACTTTCCAACTTTTGTGTTCCAAAAGGGTGGCGCCATACTTCAAGTCTACGAGTTATTTGGCACATTGGGGTTCTTAATGATGGAGTATATTGCTTCGTAGTTTTTATTTCATCCATTTCCATTCCGTTTTCACCGGTGTGTAATTCAATTCGCTAGACGAAATTAAGATTTAGGTTTCCAAGATAGATTTCAGTAGGGGACCGAACACTGGATCTTACGGGAACTCAAATGGTTTCTCAATTTTGGACTCATAGGTGATCTCTTCTTCCACTAACAATGTTGCTGCTACAATTGATCACACGCTATAATTGATAAGGCACTTCACTATTACTCGACATAGAGTGTTTTTGCACATAGTCTCGCAACTTCTGGCACCACCTCTGGCGACCCGCCTCGTTCTACATGCACCTAGTCTAGCAACTCTTATCCTAACCAATTATAGCTCACCATTCTTCCCTTGATATCAATCTTCGAAGAGTAGCTTCCTTTGATTCATTTCATTCCTTTTGCATTATAATCTTCTAGCGGTATATGTGCTTCTTAATTGTCTTTGTTAAGGAGAATTGGAACAGTTTGAATGTCATGAATTTTAGGTAATCTATATTCTTATCATATTAAGGTTATATTTGTATAAATATTCAGTATTCTATATATATATATTCAGAATATCGGTCATTCTGCTATCAGGCAATAGCATTTTCAGCCCCTATGCTTCTCTATCCAGGATACATATAACTGGGAGTGTGCACATTCAACTATGTACTAAATTATTACAACCTAATTGTTGAAATCTACATATACTAAATATACATAGATGGTGATTATACATAGATGCACACAGGGGATGGTCCTTAGCTAGGTCCACAAGGGGAAGATATGTGGATAATTGTAGGTTGAAGGAGAGCAAGTAGTGGTTTGGAACTTGGATGTTGCAGTGTTGGTGGGTTGTAGTCATGTAAATAGAGGGGTTATGATCGTGAATACTACTCGTATATGTTTTGTGTTTTCCAAACTTATTGGTTAGGTTAATAGCAATGCTCTATTTTCTTCTATATTTTTCTTGAGATAATACGTTATTTGAACCTAGAACTAAACATGAACTAAAATTTACTTCTTGACTGGAAAATACTACTATAATGCTATATTAAACTGAAAAGCAGATAAATGTTTGATACTCGGTATAAAATAAAGCAAGTAATGATGTGTTTGTTAGTGCTAGAATTATCATTATTCTTTGTTGGAAGTTAATTTTAGCTCCAGTGCGGTTAAAAAATAAATAATCTCAATCTAAGCAACATATTTTGAAGAAGTAATATCAGGGATTTTGGGGGGAAAGTATTTTTCCTCAAAGGGAAGAATAAATCATAACTTCAAATGAAAAAGTAAAAAGAGAATCTTACCAAATATGTTTGAAAAGTTACTTGAAATGGTTTAAAGTACTAATGATCTGCAGTTTCAAATGATAACCTGAAAAATGTTTCAAATGATAACTTGAATAATATTTCAAATCACATAAATGCACAATACATAACTGAAGCAAAAACTAAATGTAAAATAAAGGGCAGTGAAGAATAAGAATTAGCCACAATATGTAAATTTGATTAAAAAGGAATCTGTGGTTCTCTTCTCCATTAATCAAATGAACTCGGGGAAATTCATATAGGACAGCAAGGCTAGCTTCTTTTTTACCCTGAAGGGGCATCAACTACAAGCAAATGAACATTACCTTGTTAGTTCACTATCTTTCAAGAGAACTTTTGATTGTCCCACATAAGACGAAATCTTCCTCATCGATAATAAATTTCCTCAACTATTTTTACTCCGAAAGCAATCACATTGGAAAACTTACCTAAATAGATATCCACTTTTGACCAATAAATTAATAGTAGGAGGTCATATGTCATAGAGAGTGTCACTTCAATACCATCAACCTGCCAAAATTACTAGGCATTAGATATATAAGATAAGTCAAAAATCAAAAGGGTGTCTCTGAACAAGTAATAGTAAGAAAGTATTCAATACAATTGAGATACCAATATAAAAACAAGGCTGAGTTATACGAGAAATGAAACAAGATATGTAGTGCACTCATAAATAAAAAATCACTCGTAAAAGAATTATGGCAAAAGTAAAAACAACTTTAAAACAAGCGGAAAAAAGAAAATTAATAAGCTAGGTTTTGTAGAAGAAAGCATATTGTTACGCTCCATCATCATCATTATCATCGTTATCCCAGTGCCGCAAAGGCTCCCACCTACGGTGGGGTAAGGGGGTCGGATGTACGAAGTCTTACCCCTGTACTAAAGCACAGAAAGACTGTTTCCGAATGACCCATAGTGAAAACCGCGTCGAAAATTGCATAGGCTGACTATTACTTCATAACAAAGAAGCGCAAACAGTTTAGTGAGTCATTTTGCTTTATTCCATCATATTCACACGCCAAAAAAATAGTGAGTCTTTGGCTCCATTGAAAATGATGGAAAGCATATTGTTACGCTATTCCAAGTATATTCTCTATTTTTGCACTTGACATTTAGAACAAAGTATATAGTTTACTTGTGTATATTAACAAACATTTTGTATTCATGAACAAGTGACTTGATAAAAAACTCAATCATTAGTTCCGTGCTACTATATTAGATTTGGAAGCAAATACAACAATGTTAATTTTTCACCTGCTTGTGGTCTAATGGCCCTAACTAATGCTTCTAAGCCTTGTCAGGGTAGAAAAGTAGAAATACTATACCAATATACTTTGTTTAATTCATACGGATTATGTGAATAAGATATAAAGACCACACAACTAAACTTAATTGCTCTCATGCTCTTTAACAAACACCATATATCCGATGTGAAATTTAGGTCATAGTAAAATAAAATAAAAACTAGCTTACATGTGGATCGATGGCCCGCAGATACGGGAATTTTTTATGACGCTTGAGGCAAAACTAACTCACGATGCTCTGTAGACAACTGCTAGCTCCAACTCCGCTGCTCTACTCGCTCCACTGGATGCCGCTGACCTCAAGCGCGATGGAAGGTCACTCCACGCGGGCTGCTTTGCTTGCAAACGCCAAAGGTTTGTCCGAATCTGGTCGCTCCACTGGACATCGGAGTTAGGGCAGTTGTTCGCCAAGGAAGTCGGTCGATGGATGGATGGATGTTACGCCGAAGTCGACCTTCTCTGCTCGTGGATGATGGGTGTCCGTATTTGCCTAGGGTTGAAACGATTGAAGATGAAGGGTGAAAGGATCCAAAAAAGTGATTAAAGTAAAAGTTTGTAAAGTTGGAGAAAAAAGTTTCTAAGAAAAGTTGATATTGTAGGTTAGAATAATAATTTTTTGTGTAATAGAAAAAGAAATAATGAAGGAACAAAAAAAACAATGACATGAATATTACCTATATGTGATGGAAGAAAAATGTTCGTAGAGTTCCATTACAAAAAGCCCATATAAATAGGCATAAAGTATGATTTAAAAGTACGGATTAATAGGCCCATAATACATGACTTACATAGAAATCGGCTAATACATATTATATTTAAACGATACTACCTCCATCCTTTAAAACTTTGTCAAAGTTGATCGGCACGGAGAATAATAAAGTAAAAACTGTGTAGTTGAGGTTTGTGCAGAGGAGAGAGAAATAACAGAAACCACAAAATAATTGATTAAAAGGGAAAGTGTCAAATTTTTTTGGGACGTCCCAAAAAGGAAAGATGGCAAAGTTGTAAGGGACGAAGGGAGTATCACATAACATATAATTTCTTTCAACACTTCCTCTTGTGCTGAGTCGTAGATAGAATGTTGTATATGTTTTGTTGTCTCTTCAAAACTCCGTCAAGTAACAAAAACTATGCGGGATACAATAACATTGACCGGTTAAAAAGAAGTATAGCATCAAGATAGGCTTCTTTCATTAAGTCTATCTTTATTTGATCTTTGCTTTGATCATTAAAGTTTATATGTATCGTCACCTCATTAAAAACCTTATCAAGTAACAAAACCCAGTGGGGAAAAATAAAACTTGGGTAAAGGAAAAGAATATAACGTAATCTAATAGGGGTACTCCCCCTCAAGTCTACATCTACCCTTAATATTTACATTGACAAAGGGTGTGTAAAATATGTGCATTTCAATATTTGTCACATTAATTACCTTAGTGAAGGCACAGATAGAGGAATATAATTCCTTTAATTCTCCCCCTGTGTGTCGAGCGTAGGGAATTTTCCCAAATTATTAACTTGAGAAAACGTTGCCAATGAACAAAACCCAATGGGGAAAAATAAACGCCGTGCAAGTGAAAAGGAAGTATGGTGCATTAATACCTATGCGTCAATTACTTTAGACTGCGATATACTCGTAGTAATTATGTTCTTTCTTCAACATTGTTTTACTTTCGTAAAATAAAAATGTGGGATGGTGCATATTATGTTGTCTAATTAAAAAACCTTACCAAATAACAAAACTCAATGGGAAAAAATAAACCTTGGTCAAAAGGAAAAAAAAAAGAAACAAGAGTGATAGAGTATATCTAGAGAGAAGTGAGAGCTAGAGAGAGAAGTGCAATATATGCTTCAATAGAATGAATTTGTAACCCCTATAACTACTCCCAAGGGAAGTATTTATAGAGAAAATACGGGTTGGGCTCCCAAGCCTTGGGCTTGGGAGGCCCATTTACAACTGGACCGCTACTGGGCCGAATACAAAGCCACTAGTGGGCTGTACGAATGAGTAAGTATAAAATCCGATTCTGTGAGGTCTTCGTGGCCGACGAGGGCGTGGCCGACGAGGGCACGGCCGACGAGGGCACGGCCGACGAGGGCACGGCCGACGAGGGCACCCGGGTTCCTTGGGCTCAGGACCATAATCTGAGTTGGCACCTTCTCGGCCGACGGGGGTCCCTTGGCCGATGTGGGCGCCACTCGGTGTCTTGTGCTTCCTGTTCTTCCGAGTATGTGGGTCCAGGGGCTCAGACCCATATACTCCATCAGGAGTCCCCCACTCTCTAAGCTGAGACGTAGACGAAGTGAAGGAGAGTAGATTCCCGTGCTTTAGTGCTTTTGGCCGACGCGGGCATTCCCAGGCTGTTAGCTGTTGCGGCGTTGGCGCTGTTTCCATTGTGGTGATCATGTTCTGTGCTTGGCCATTACCCGTTCTTCGCTGTGGACGGGAAGGCCGTTGTTTCCTTGGTGCGGTCGTTTGGGGACGATGAGTGTCCTGCTTCAATGGTGGCCGTTGAAGGCACGCTTTCCCTTTCTTGGACGTTGATGGTTGAAGTTTACATTTGGGCCGATGAGGCCGTCGAGGTTGAACCTTGCTTCGAGGACGATGGTGTCCTTTCCTTTGGGTGGCCGGTGAGGGTGCTTGCGCACTGCTTTTGGTCGTAGCTGACTGGTTTTCGTGTTCCTGGCCGAAGAGCCCATCATGATTAACCGTTGGCGGAGGACGATGAGTGTCCTTGCCTTAGGTGGTCAGTTGGCCGTTGCTGATGACGTTATGTGCCTTTGGCCGACGAGGCGCAGTGTGATATATGGCCGTTGTGGCCATGCTTTGTGGTTACATTGTTCTTTGCATTTTCCTTTTTTGTTTTGTTGAGGCCGGTGTAGTCCCCCAGTCCCCCACTGCTTCAGGCCGAAGAGTGTGAGGGGTGAAGGAGTTGCTTGAGTCTCTGGTCGAAGCGGGCTCTCCGTAGTCCCCCTGAATCCAACCCTCATGGCGATTTTCTGGCCAAGGTAACCCTGTGGGAGAACCCTTGTGCGCAGATCGCTTGTAGAGAGTTATCATCAAGGGTCGTTACGGGGAGCCGATGGGCGTTCATGACATTCCTGGCCGTTGTCATCTCCTTATTGTTGACATTTGTGAACTTGGCAAGTAAATAGGCCGTTGTGGGCGTTTGCTGGCACTGGTGAAGCCGGCCAGTGTGTAGGCCGTAGAGTCTGATTCGCTAGTGGGCTCTTGATATGTAGCTTGGCCCGTTGGTGACGTGGTGGCCTCCCATTGGTGGCCGTTGATGTGGCCATTGGGAGGGTGCCACGTGTAGTGACCGTTGGGTGGGGGGTCCTATAAATACCCCTCCCCCTCCGACGAGAAAACTCATTTGCATTCTGAATTGTCGAAGTGTTGGCCAAATTTCTAGAGAGATAAACTCCCAAGCTTGTTCTTCGTGTTCTTCGTGTTCAAGGTTAGTGTTCATCGCCATCTTCTGTACTTTGCATACTTTGCTTCCTAGACTAGTGATCTAGTGTTAGGCGCTTGAACACCCTTAGATCCTAAGTTATTCCCCTTAGACTCGTAGTAGTTGTTATGATGAAGAGCTTGAACGAAGACTACTATCCGTACGACGACCAGCCCTCCACTAGGTCACTCGACTATGAGGTGCTCTAGGAGTTCGAGGAGGAGATACAACACTTGAGTCCTTACAAGTCCGGAGAGCCGGTGGACGACGAAGTCGAGGACGAGGAGTCCGCCTCGTCTTCAAAAGGTGAGGACGCAGGTGCGTCCCGAGTGGTGGACGGGGCGTCCACTTCCGCTGTTATTCCATGCCCGAGACCGGTGTCTGCCGTGAAGGGAGCAGACAAGCCGAAGAGGATAAGGAGGCCGAAGAGTGGGCCGGGCGTTTCCTACCTGGATCTCACAAACATCTTCTTGATCAAGCCGGAGAGCAGCGCGGTCGACTACTTGGTTGCCCAGATGTACGTGGGGCCGTTCGGGCGGGTTAGGGCACCCAGGCCGACGGACCATGTTCTTCATCCGCCACCGGGATACTTTGGAGTATACCCGATGAGTTTCGCCAAGGGGCTGAGGTTTCCCCTTCACCCCTTCATCACCGAATACCTTGACATGGTGGGGCTCCCTTCGGCCTTGTTGACGCCGAACAGCTATTCATTGATGGTTGGGTTTTTGCTCCGCTGTGAGGAGCTGGGCTACAGGCCGACGACGGCTCTGTTCATGAATCTGTATCAGATAGGCCGAGGAAGCCACAAAAATTGTGCGGCCTATGCTACTCTCCAACAGCTGCCGAAGAAGAGGAGCTTCACGGACTTGCCTTCATCCATTCATGGGTGGAAGAGCAAGTTCGTTTTTGTATCCCTTGGTGAGAGTGGCACCGAGTTTCCCTCTCTCGGCCATACCGGGAGGTTCAATCTGCATGACCCGCCGAAGAGTTCTATCTTGGATGCTCAGGTGGAGGCTTTCTTGGAAGGGGGGCCGAGAAGCGTGAAGGATTATATCACTGAATACAAGATGACCGCCCTCGGCTTCTTAAGACACCATGTGTATGGCGATAAGGAGGACGATATCCACCTCTGGCCGAGGATGACCACCACCTTCGAAGAGGCCGACGGCCCGGATTTGGGCATTCCTGCTGAGGCCGATGGTAATTATTTCTTCGGCTATCTTCCTTTATGATTTGTTCTTTTGCCTTGCTAATCTGTTGTTTTTCCTTTGTGTAGATTTTGTCATGGATCGTCGTTCCATCATGGCTATAGCCAAGGCCAAGGCGGCCGAGGAGTTGGCTGCAAAGGCGGCCGAGGCGGCCAGACGTGTCGCGGCCGAGGGAGGCGGGGCTACTGCTGGTGCGGCCCCAAAGCCTGCCCAGTCCAAGAAGAAGAGGCCTCCCACTGACGGCCAGAAGAAGTTGACTGAGGCCGGCCTGAACGTCACCAAGAAGACGAAGAGGGCACCGTCTCCTTCCCAGGCTACTGAGGCCGGCACTCTTACCGTCCCCAGTGTGGACGATAGTGGTCCTGTTGTGGACCTCACTGCTGCTCCTAGCGATGCTGCCCAATCGCTTCCTCTCGTCCAGGAGCCACGGACGAAGAGGGCTGGCAAGGAGATTGCCGCTGCCACCTACCAGAAGGTGGTGGAATACCCCGTCGGCGGGGGTGTGTTTGACGATGTCGTCCTTGGCCACGATGTGCTGGCCCAGGCCATGCCGACCAAAGATCGGGCCTACCTCAAGAAGCTCGGGGACGTGAAGGTGTACGAGGGCGGGATGGACCTCCTCGTCCAAGTAAGTTCCCTTCCTTCTTATGTGTCGTTTTTCTCGTCGTCCGAGTGGAATTATTTGTCTGAGTCTTTGTTTGCCTTTTTTGTGCAGAGTGCCTTTATGCTCATGGAGAGCCACAAGAGGTAGTACCGTGAGATAGCTCATCTGAAAGAGCTTGAGCAGAAAGCTGCCTCGGCCGATGAGGCGGTCGCTTGCTTGGATCGGC